AGGCATTTAAATTTTTATTCCATCTTTCATTTCATGAGAGCATAAAGTTATTCCTGTGAATATTTAAAGCTTGCCTAAGTGCAGTTAGAGTGTATATTGCTTCAAAGACAACACTGTAGGAACACGGACCTCCTTTCACTCGAGGCTAAAAACTGCAACCTGCACCTGCTGGTGTCAGCTTCTAACATGCAGACACCTCTAGAAACCTTTAAAGCCCTTTGTCTGATTCAGTTCACTGACATCTACATCAGTCTTAGGCTGATGACTAGGATAAGAAATGCAAGAGGAGAACCGAAGAAGTGTACCAGGTATCTGTCTGGCATCACTTTTGCTGTAGTACATTAACCAAGCCTACTGCATACATTGTTAGAAGTGCATTTTAGATGTTAAATTTTGCTTTTCAACTTTCCAGAAACTTAGTAGTTCTCTCACCAATAGAAACCATTAGTGAGCAAAACCCATTAGGTCTGTATCCACCTTCACACTTGGGAGGGTGAATACAGACAGGTAAGAATGTTCTTTATGCCTAAACCAAGAAAAAACAAGAACTCACCCTTTGGACAGCCAGTGAAACAGAGAGAGAAGCTGCACTGAATTTCTTATTGCAGAAAGTTGCAACTTAAAATAGAACTGGATTTCTTCATATGTTAATGTTAGCATTTATGAAGTGCTGGACTCAAGCTGCGGCAACCACAATTAACCTCAAGCCAATTCTCAGAGAACAGACTGCAAGAATGATCTTTAAAATCAGCTAATGGATGATGGTGGTTGCTATTTCAAGTAGTCTTCACGGTATGTATAAGAACAAAGCAGACCTGTATGCATATTTTTTTTAAAACTGAAGATTTATTGGAAAGAAATTTGATCCCATATCTTTTCAGCAATATAGGATACTTAACATTTTATATAGACTGTATTCAAGTAGAAAAGATTACATTAAAAATTTCTAATATTGCACTTGGGACAAGTCATGGCTAAGCTACTAACATTAGCATTCCAGAACAAAATCATACATAGTCTTCAGAATTTTAGTGAGCTGCCTTGTGTATTTTGATATACTGTACTATTCAACTTAAGCTCACTGCTAAGAGTAATTCCTGTAATTTAAAGGTAAAGGCAAGCAATATGCTGAATGCAAGCAATATGCTGTATGCTACCAGGAATGATTTTGGCAATTTCTTCATTCACAATATTTCACACTTCAGCGAAAATGCTGTAGCGATTCATTTAACTCTTGTACAAGATCCCAGCACACACATGAAAGACTTCAATGCACATGGGAAGTGAAATACACAACTCCTTTTACACATTATTTCCGCCAAATTGCCACATAGGCAGGAACTTTTTGTGGCTCACTGAAACAGACAAGTAGATTAACCAGTATTTGCACAGAGTGAGACATGTAGTTGTCACACACCACGCACAGCAGAAGCAAAACTGGCATCTTTTCACATTATAGCAGTCTCTGGCCAGTGAAGTCCCAACAGGGATGGTCACTGCAACAATGCCTGAATGGGAGAGAAATCTAAAAGGGAATCCCAGCAAGTTGCAGATAGGGATTTTCATAGAAGTGTAAAGGAGGAATTAACCACTGAGCCAGTATTAGGGATCAGAGAAATGGATTATTTAAAAAAAAAATAAATAAAAAAAATCCCTCTACACTCATTCCCAAACACACTTCAAAGGGGTGGGATAATCAAGAACCATAGCAAGTGGCAGTCTGATGGTTGCTGGGGAAAACAGGACAGGCCTTAATCAGTAACTAAAGCTGTTGCTCTGAACTGGTATTTACTTGTTACACAAGTATGATTAGCGTTTGCATTTTATAGAAGCATGAAGGTTTCTGCAACTGAAATCTGTGCTGTGAGAGAAAAGCCATGAACTTTACAATTTGATTGCACAGTGGGTGCAGAGGGTGGAAAACTGCAGTTCAGCAGCAGATTCTCTCCCCTCTTTTATCTTGTTTACATTCCCAAAACAGGTTCACTCACAACACTTAAAGAGAAATACCCTTTCTTTCCTTCACCTTTAGCCCAGCTTTACTTCTTCAGAAAAAAAAGAATTAAGAATGTTAAGAGTCACTAAGGTCCATTTTAGTAGTAGCAGCAGTTTCAATTTTTCTGTAAAAATAGTGTCAGCAGCTCTTACTAATGATGCAATTAAACTTTTGTTTTAGTAAGCAGAATTATGTAAAAAGGCAGAGTCATTTACTTGGACCAGCACTTTTTGGCTTAGTTTATCAAATCACACAAGTAATCTAGCTCTCTGTAGTGTTGTAAGGAACAAGTCTATCGATATGTATAGACTTACAGGATTAGCCTACAAAGGACCAGGCTTCATCTTTTGGGACAATATGGTTGTTCAGTTACTGTTTTCAGTCACAGAAAAAACCCACAAAGACCAGTAAGCTTCAGCTACATGAAAACATGAGAAAAATCATACTTTGTAAACTTGGTTCAAAATTAAGTACTGGATACCAGGAAGCTGACTTTTAGCAGATGATCTGCAGACATTCATCCATCTCTGGCTGTCCGTCATTCACACAAATCTTTGTTTAAATGATGCAATGCATCTCCAATAAAGTATTAAAAGCAAAGCGTTACATAAGCAGCCAAGTATTAGGTAATTAGCAAAATGCAAAATAATGGTGCTTTGACTCTCAGGATAAGAAAAGCTGCACTTCCAATTGCATGATTTGTACTCTCCTAAAACCTGAGCAAGTATCCCCTTAGTAGGTGAAAAAAAAAAAAATCAGATGTCGCTGTTTACTGACATACTAGATGTGATTGTGGTTACCTACTGGACATATCATCTACTGTCTTCTGTAGAATTTTTGTGATGCTTACCCTTTTTCAGAAGGCCTAAAAAGGCCTACTTTGCATCTGACTTACTATCCTCAATTATATTTAACAAACAAATGATACATTTCTTACTATAAAGACATCAAGTTGTCCTTAATGAAGAAAGTCCTGTCTTGGTTAGAAAACTCAGACTTGTACATATGCTTCCAACAGTTAGATAAGTCATTATAAGCAACAAAAAGATGTCAAAAGTTATTAAAATCGACATTGTGTAATTATAACCACCTTATAGGCTTTTTCACTCAATTTCCCTTATTTAAAAAGTTTATACATGTACATCTTAAACTGACCACCACCAATCAAACCCAATTGCCACTCAGGCAGATTCTCACTTGGAAAAAAATTGTAGCAGTTGTCTTTTCATTAAGAAAACTAAAATAGTGGTCAAGCCCAGCATCTTGGGTTGCACTACAGTATTTAAGCAAGTCCAGGAATACTCAGTCCCAAAACATGCTGCTATAAAAATACTTAAACCAAAGCCTGCTCTTGGATCATGACACAATTGCAATGAAGTTGGCTGGAGCTTGCCTTTAACATGGTATCAGTTGATCTTCTCTAGCCTTAAATAGTAGTAATATTAACTAAAAAAAAAATTAAAAAATCAAGAAATCATGCTGTCAACCAAGAAGCCACCGTCTATATGCAACATACTACAAAACAATACAAGGGAACCCCGCCCTGTAATCACAACCATATTTTAATTACCTTTTCTGTGAACATAGAGGCAAACAGTATCATAAACTGCAATACTCAAATTTGCTCAACAGATTCTTGCACCCTTCCCTGTGCCGTGTAACTTTCAGATCCCATCCTCCAGTCAGGAACTCCAGGCCCAGCAGAGCATCTGCAAGGGGTGATGAGGAGGGAGCCCGATGGGCGCCAGGCAGGAGGCCAGGAGAGAGAGATGTGGCACAGTGTGGGCAGCTGGAAGAGCAGTCTGCTCCTGCATCCCCAGGAGAAACGAACAGGTTCACAGACCAGCAACAGGGATAAAGGATCTGAAGACTGGAAAAGACTAAGTCTTAAAAGCAGTATGTATGTGGCTTTTTACTGCTCTTTTTCTTTACACCCTGTTTTTAGTTCCAAGCACAAGAGTACACCAGCAAGCTTTGTACAAACTCAACAATCTGGAATCATGTTTTCATCTGGAAAATTCAGGAACCACCTATCAATCTGGCAACCATCATGTTTTCACATGAAGAGATCAAAATTCAGGTGCTATATAGGAACAATGGAATGAATGCAAGAAATTCTTCATCTCTATCATGAATTCAGCAACATCAGTGGCAAACCAACCATTTCTGCAAATGAATCTTCGGTACTCTCATAGTGCCTACCACTTACTACACAGATGTTGTCAGGTTCAGAGGGCCTTGATTTCAGCATTACCACATATTGGGTACCAGAATACTTAAAATCCATACCAGTCAGTAGCAGATATGATTTATCAGAAAAATGCCCATCTTATTTTTTTACTCCACAATGTTCTGTTTGTAAAACTTCCTCTTATAAAATCTTCCATTACTAGGTTAACTACTACAGCATAGTGGAATTATCATCTGTAATACCAAGTATAGCAGATTGTCTTTGAAAACACCACTCAGGTCTGAAAGTGTAAAATGATTATAAATGCTAGAAAAATAGGACAGACTAATGTTTCTGGAAAAAACACTTATTGCACTAAGAATTTTTTTTCCCCCATGAAAACACACAAGGCTACAGTAAGATAGTCAAAAATATTGGACTTGTCAACCTGGAAAAAGCATAATTTTAAACAGCATGAACCATGGTCCTTATTTCCATTTCAGGTACAGCCGCCAGGAACAACTATTTTCAGTATTTGGAAAAGCAAAAGTTATCTCACCAATTGCTTTAATAAAAATTATTACAACCTAATAAAAATCAAGGAGATTTAAGCTTTCACAAGCAATTTAGGAATTTAATTTTTTCTGCCACAGAATTTGGAAGATAAAAAACTTCAAGCACTGCTTCCATCACCAGCATCTTCCCTCAGCTGTCTGTTGATTCAGTGACTATGAACATGAGTAGCATCATGTAATGTCTCATTACTCTCAAGAGTATGAAGAGACTAAGAATTGGAGTTAAATCTAATATTTTGACTAAAATAATTTCCACAGGAGATGGGCAACAAAATATCCAGCTTGTTTTGGAAGCACGTCTCTTCACAACATCTTTGCCTTTTACATTTAGAATTTTTCTGTCTGTTTGGTAAAATCCAAGTATAAGGGATGTCTAACATCTACAGTTATGCAAGTACACAAACCCCCACATACATCACTAGTAAATAATCAGACTGCATACAAGAGATTTGCAAAAGTAATAAAACCCTTTGATGCTCCATATTTATGCTGGCAAATACCTCTCCTGATATAAAAGGCACTTGGAAAACCCAATATGGTTTGGTTCATTAAGTTTGCAAAGTACAAACAATTGTACAAACATACAATTATATTGAAGCATGTCAGCCATCGTGACATAATCTACAAAACAAGTTTCCAATTGTTGATAACACTGGTTTTATGGGAATGAGCAGTGGTTTCAGCAGCTTTACTGAAGACATGACAGGGTTTCCAGTACCACAATCTTAGTAAGTAAAAAACCCTCAAAAACGTAGAAGTTTAGGGGCCACGAAAAAACAAGACCCAAAGTCCAAAACATTCATTCAGTATTTACTCCTTAGAAGTGAACTCCATCCATAGCCCAAGGGCAGAAATATATCCAATCAATTCCAGAACAGCGGTGGAGGCAGGCTCTGTCTTGAGAAGTGTGTTGTTATACCGTTACAGTACAGAAAACTTTGGTCCAACAGCACAATTTCAGAAATTCACTACATGGCTGCGACATCAATCTGTACGTAAAGCTGTCTTACTCCTGCCTATGGAAAAGAGAAGGAGAGTTTAAAAAAACCCCAAACCTATAAAGCCAAAGCAGTTTAACTGTCCTGAACACCAGTCCACATCAGTAAGTTACCTAGCAAAAACCCTCAGTTATCTTATTTTTCTGTAATTCATCTTCCACATTTAGCACATCATTCCCTGAGATACCGGCAATTTGGAAGCCTACAAACTTTGAGAGCACTGTATGAATACATAGTTCTTCAGTCACAATGAAGTGCACATATGTCATTATATATTAGCATTAGCTTGGCCACATTACTGTTTCTGATTCATCCTAAATAACTCTCACTCATGAAGCTGCACAAAAGCAATTCCTACTTTTCTACAAGTTTTACTTCCTGAAAAGGAAGCTGCTTGAAGAGCTGTCAGCTTAAAATGCAGCTAAGCACAAGAACGTGACATGGGATTTGTTGTTTGAACCCGCTCTACATTAAGATTCTAGCAAGAAAGCACAATGGCTACAGTGAATTTACATGACATCATGACACACTAAAATAACTTTTGGTAAAGGTATGTGAATTATACAAAAGCATTTCTCTTCTCAGAAATCCTATTAAACTAGGCTTAGATGGACTTGCTTAGTTTTTTTTAATCATAATTCAGTATAAAACAGCATTAAAAAAATCATTTAGTCATTCATTTTAACCTCAGCGGCAGGCCAGCAACAATATTGTGATGGTCACTGGTTATGCAATGTGATCTTGAAGCACTGGACTGAACACTGCTAAAGATCAGATTGTCTTCAACTATCATCAACGTGCTTTTAGCTCAGTTGAATGGCAAAAACAACTACCAATTATATTAAGATTAATGAGGAACAATATTACTGAGCAGAAAAATCTCTACTTGTTCCAACTATTCCTCCACTTGTTACCATAGGTCAGATAAGAAAAATGATAGACCTTGTTCTCTCCACTCCCTTCCTAGACACATGGCTCTTGATACCTGCACAGCTACAAAACAGCTGAAGAGCTAATGACTCATTTGGAAAATGCGATCCTTTGGAGACTTGAGATGTAAAATTAGTTTTAATGTAACAGAATGTTCTGCATAGTCCTTCCCCAAAAATATCTCTTAGTAGTCTGCAGAATAAGCCATGCAGATTCATTTCTGCCTACTCAATAATCTAGAGCTGTATGTGATGGAACATCTCAGAAAGGACCAAACTTTATTGATAAAGTTTGATTTTAGAATATTTGTCACAACAAATTCCCTTTCCCTAAGTCTCCAACATAAAACCAAGTATGTGTGTTTATGTTTATTGGGTTTCCTAGGACTGACTACTTTAAAATTTCTTAAACTTTAAGGAGTTCAAAAGAATTCATGCACTTGGGCAGCACATTGTATAGTTGGCTTCAGCGGCATTTCTCCTGACAGTCCAGAAACTGAGTATGCAGAAAGGCGTTAAAAAAAAATTCAGTCTGGAATTTTTAATAAATGTTATAAAACAGTTGACAAAAGGGGCACTTATCAGATGTGTAAACAATTCACTAAGCCATCGCATACGCAAGCTGCCAATGCAGTAGGCCCATACAACATGTAGAACAAGGGAAAGAACATGCATGTGAGGACACAAGGCCTTTCCCCACTATAGAAAGCTTTGAAAAGAACATTTATGCAACCACTAATTAAACTGTTGACAGAAGCAGTTTTTATTTACCATATCAAATATACCTGATTAGAAGCCCCCTTTCTTCACCGTCCAACTGACTTCTCTAAGTTAGTAATTTACATAGCTCCAAACTACTACCCTTTAGCTGACAATAGTTTGCTACCTAAAACACTGGTTATAAACAGGAATATTTGTCTCCTTTGCAGCTACAGAACTCTCCATTACTCAAAAGCAGAAAAAGGACATTATGGAAAAATGCTACATTTTTTTCAAGAACAGCCCTCCAATATCAAGAATAAAACCAGGATATTTGGCTCTGGATAGTATAAGAGAGAGAATAAGTTTCTCTTGGAGAAGAATTTTCTATTTTATCTTAATACATTCTAGGTTCTACTTGTAAACCATTCACATCCAGTAGCTATACTGGAATAGGCAGCCAAACTGAATTTCACACTTCATGGTTAAAAGTATAAGGAAGCAACAGAAAAATCTTTCTTAAATTTGTAAGATTTTAATCTTAAGGCAAGAACTATCAACTTCTAATAAAGCTTCTGTTGTTTACAAGAATTTCAGCATTTCATATCAGCTCCAATTGCTATCAAATACATCACTATCTATCAAAAAAACCCAACAAACCTGTAGGGAAATAAATGGCAACACACTGGCTGTATACAACATAAAACTAGTGATCACTGTAGCATGGATGTCACTAAAAGACAACAAAATACGCAAAGACCATAGATTCTTAGAGGGATAGAAATGAATGACAAATACAGCATTAGCACAGTGAAAAACTTCAGTAGCTCCAGCCTGTGGTTGGAAACCCTGTCTTGAGGGAAGCCTCATCTATTTTCTTAGTTCCTCATAGGTCAATACAGGGTTTCAACCCAATTTGATACACCTCAGACATCTACAGCTGTTATTTCCATTAAGTGGCATCAAAAACTAATGCAGAGAGGTACAATAATTCCATCTACACTACTGAGTATTTGGAAATGGTTCTATACAGCAGAGAAGCTTTTCAAAACACACTGATACCAAACCCAGAAACATTTAATTTTTCTTGATCAGAATTACACTGTCTTATCACGACAGGCAATTTACACTGAGATGTGATTTCCACTGATGAGACATACCTGAGTAAAAATATTGTGAGTCTGGCTTAGAATCCACCTTCCATCAGCATCAGGAGCTACTAATAATTTCAAAGTCCCTATGTAAACATCAGTACAGAGGGTCCAGAAATGTGGATCATGTAAACTGTAAACTCCTTGCAACTGCTGCACCTAAAAATACAGGCAAATTAAAAAAATATATATTTCAGAAAATGTTTGTTTGTACTATGTTGGTTCTTTTACAGAAAATACTATAAAAGTCAATGCATTCTTTTCCTTCTAGTTCACTGTGCAATTTGTGATATTTCACTTAAATTCCTTATTACTATCTCAGTAATTGTAAGGAAGGTGAAAACATACAGATTGTAAGTATGTGTCATGATTTTGTACCTTGCTGTATCTACATTCTACATATATTTCACTGAAACCATTTCTGAAAACAGTGGTGTCCAAGAGAGAAAAGTCACAGTTATTAAATTTGAGGGGGCATTCAATTAGAACAGCAATTTTTGCAAATGCAGGAATTTTCCCATAAAACAATTTGTGAGAGGTGAGGGCTTAGGTTTGTCCTGTCAAAACCCTGCTTTTTCTTCTGTCCAATTTTAGCAAACTCTCCATGTGATGATTACAATCCTGTAACTTCCTGACAAAAGATGACACTCCTACAAGTGCTTTGTATTAACTTTGCAAAGGCGCTTCAACATTCAGGTCATGACACAGTAATAGGTAAGTTAAACAGGAGTACCAGGAGAGGTCAAATCCAGAGTAATCTATATATTTTTATAAATCGACTTCCAATGTTACTTCACCTCGCTTTATTAAGAGCTAGATTTTGAAAGAGACGAAAGCTGAACAAAACAGAAAGATATTATGCACTTTGTATCAGCACAAAGTACTTCGAGAGGAAAAGCTTCAGGATCTATTTTTCTAACTATCATAGCATGTTTTAAAACACCAACTGAGTTGAAGCTACATACAATTTAGGACTTCAGAAAAATAGGAATCAAACTGGTACCTCCATTTATACAATCTAAGGAATCTTTCACAGGCATTACTGGAAAAACATCACAAAATATCCTTATAGACACAGCTGAGGCTCATTCAGTCAGCAGCTTGATCTGAAACAAAAATGGCCTAAGACCTCACCCTCTGGTAGCACTGAGGCAGGGCGTTTTCCAGGGAAGGAGGAGTTCGCTGCATCAAAATTCCAATGGATTCTTTTAAAAGTGGAACAATACTGGAAAGAAAAAAGGAAGTTAGCTACTATTACATTTTCAAAAGATGCAGAACAAAGAGCAACACAGCATTTCTAAACACTCTTGAAGAAGTTGTCCTTAGTTGCTTCACCAGAAGCTGAGAAACTTATGATGAAAACCTGGCACACAAAATAAAATGATTGACAAAATTGCTATGATGTCTTACTAAAGGCAAGATTACTTCTCCCTCAGATCTTCCATAGAGCCAACTGGTGGACAATCACAAAAGATTAACAGTTTAATCATGGGTTTTGACATGAAATCTCTTAGTGTCTTAAAAGTTATATGACAAAGCAGCTGATGAGTATAGCTCAAAACCAAAACCTACTTCAATGGCAATCACTCAAAACCAACCATAAAAACATGCAACTGAAATGGTTTTTGCTTTTGTGTTTGGCATATTTTTGTGTAAGGCATATTTTTCTTATGAACTAAGATAATAATGGGGAGATCATAAAACAAAATTAGTATGGACCAGTCCAGCTATAACAAGGTTATTTTGTCAGAAATAGACAACTTAGCATATTCTTGAAGCGAACTAAGTGTAGGGTCTCATCCAAGCTCAAGTACTGAACATTTGGCAGTGATTAGAGGTTCCCTCATGGCCAAATGGTCTTGTTTAATCAGCAAACTAAGATGACACTTAATATCCTTTCTTACTATTATTAGTTTCCTCTTTTTTTTTTTTTTTTTTTTAAATAAAACTAGGACACCAGTAAGCCCATACCCTGAAGCTACCCTAAAAATTTATACTCTTATTAAGTATTCAGTATGGTGATTTTTTGTTTAGGAGTAATACATCATGTCTGGCTCAGCACAGCATCCTAAAATTTTCAAGAGCATGACAAATATCTATAACCAAATACTAAAACTTAAATAGCAATCTAATTTCAAGAGTATATAAGTCACCTAACACTAGACCAAAAGTGATTATGTATTTCAGAAACTGTAAGCTGAATTCCAGTGTTCAGCACTGGCACCGCAGCTGGAGTACAGAGAATGATGGGATAAAAAGCATCCAGCAAACATTTGTAAAAGATTAATTGGGCCGTCTGTCAAAGGAAATGGCAGAATCTTTGTTTAAAATCTCATGAAGTGATGCAGAACGCACTGCACAGACCAGCTCTATATTTGCAGATGATGAACAGCATGATCTAACCATTCTTTTCCAATTTTAAAGAGATGGTTCCATTTGTACATGGAAGCAGTGCTGGCTGATCATCTGCTCAGCTCATTCCTTGGCTAATCCTTAGCCAGGGGTGGGAGGGAGGTAGAGCATGCATGACTCTTGTCTAATGAACCCCTGGAAAAACAACCACCCTAAAACTAAGTCTCCTGGTTATTCCAGCCACATTCACTGCCTGATGCACTCCATCACACGGCCTCACGCAGCTGCACTGCTACTCAGGAATCAGTTCAGAAATAGCAAGGAGCAATTAGGGGCAGGCAGGAGCTGCCTAAACTGGACTTGTCACCAAGACAATTAAACATTTAGCAATGCAATAACTGTCAATCTGTCTAAAGGAAGCTTAATTGGAGTGTCACATTCTACAGACAGTGGATTACAGAAGTTTAAGGGAAAAGGTTCTCTTATCAATGGACCCACCTCACTAAATAATGTCCATGTCACAAGCATTACATGAAAGGGAGCTGGAGCTGCCAAAGTACTCCGTTGCTGAATTGATTCCAGTTTAACTCACTATTTAAAATGCAGGTTTGCTTCTTAATAAAAACCTTGAAAGACTAATACACAAGTTCAGGATGCAAACTGAATACAAGATTTTTGAACACTGTCTCCATCCCCATAAATTTAACAAGGTCCTTCTAACATATGCATCCAAAGGCTTGGGAAAACACACACATACAGGCTGCATATTTTTTCCCAAGGAAAGGACTAAAGGAATGGAGAATGTAGGAGCCTGCTTTTTTACTGGAACATACCACTCAGAGTGAAAAAAATCCATGAAAGAAATCTGACCAAAAAATGTCTGATTTGCAGAACTTATTTACATTATTTGATAAAAACTGATGTACATTATCTGATGGAATGGAAAGGAATTGGCAAGTAGGAGTTTTGGAGAGACAGCCTACAGAAATTTAAGACTAGCAGGTTGGGCATATTAACCCATTCCAAAAAAGGATCTGGTCAGTGAAACTGGTTGATTAATTCTGGCTCAGGATGCACATCGAAAAGAGGAAGTTTTCAGCTGCATCTTCAGCTGAAGATGTATTTAAAATGAATACCTGCTTAATTCTGAAAACCTTGTTGCCTAAGAAACTGATCTTCCAAGGTTAAGTCTACACAATCAGCAGGGTGTGCACAAGCACCAAAGACCGTCTCTCCTTGCTAGGTAATGGGGTGCAGTTTTAAGCAGCACATGTTGGAACCATTAGCTCAAAATCAACTAATACACAAAAAGCTGATCAGGGAAAGACACTCCACTCCTAGTACAGGTGGTACAGCTTAAGAGATAGTCTCCCTGCTGGCAAGACTTCACCTATTCATGTTTTTGGCAATAATGCTGCACAAGTTACGCTTTTATCCAGACTTCACAAAAAGCTAAACTTTTAACTGAAACAGACATCTTAAAGGGCCAAAGAACAGAGGTAAATCAGGATGTGGCTTGATACTGTAGGTGCAAGCTGAAGCATATTCAAGGTCACACCTCCCTCCTCTAACTTACACACAGCATTCAGCTACAAATTTATCTTTTGCAAAGCTGAAAAGGCCGAAAGACAGCTGCGGTGATGTGATATGCCCTCACAAATGCTGTTAGAGCACCGAAGTCCACACATGCATCTCTGCATCCAAAGGGACGCTATCTTACAAGGTAGTCTTTACTGTAAGCCAAACTAACAGGACAAACAATAGAATCCAGTTTTCTGTCTCAGGTTCTCCATTGTTTAATGCATACTACTGAAGTACAAAACCTTTAATTAAAAACCAAAACTCCAGATCATATGCACTTTTCTCAAACACTAACTAAACCCCAGTATTACTTAATCACCATGAGACACTAGAAGTATTAGTTCCATCTCATGTGACTGAAGAAAACACTAGGAAAGATGACGACACCAAACAGGCTGAAAATGTGGTTAGAGAATTTGACCAAGCTTTCCTTTTTTTGGATTAGTCACTAGTGCAAAATACATTTCATTGTCTCTGCAGCAACTATTCCACTGGTACTTCACACTCCCCCCTTTTTTTTTTAATTTACAAAAAGATTATTGAGGAAAATAAATAATGCTGAATTCTCATGGAGAGTTTTTTCATGCATAAGAAGTCTGTAATGCTGCTAAAGCAGACACAATTTTCCAATGGTCTCTCATTACCAAGCCTTGAATCTAAAATATCACACTCCTTTACAGAACAACAGAATTTGAAAGAGGCACTAACCCACAGCCAGGCTTGGGACATAAACATATCCTCTACAAAAGCCACAATAGCAAAAGTGGCTAACACGTGCAAAATGAGTTAGCAGCACACCACACTTTCACATATGCTTTTACAGAGGAAGGGAAAGGTGTTCAAACAGGTAAAAGCTATTGACATGAATCTGATAAATCCAGCCTGCCACTACTACACATGGCTCAATTAACAACAAAGAGTGAAAGCATCAGCCTCTTAATCAACTTGCATCACATTCAGATAATACTCATACCTGTTCCAGTCCCATTCTGTTTATGCCACTGTTTTTGCAAGCATAGCTAGCAAGACTCTGGCATTGTCATGATCTTGGACAGCAAGGATGAAAACAACTGTGGGGTAAAAGGTGCCTAAACTTCAGCCACAAAAACCCCGTGCAGGGTTACAGGCTGGGGGAAGAGTGGTTAGAAAGTGGTCAAGCAGAAAAAGACCTCCGGGTGCTGGTTGACAGCTGGCTGAACATGAGCCAGCAGTGTGCCCAGGTGGCCAAGAAGGCCAATGACATCCTGGCTTGTATCAGGAATAGTGTGGCCAGCAGGACCAGGGCAGTGATTGTCCCCCTGTACTCGGCACTGGTGAGGCCGCACCTCGAATACTGTGTTCAGTTCTAGCTCCTCATGACAAGAACGATATTGAGGTGCTGGAGCGAGTCCAGAGAAGGGCAACAAAGGTGGTGAAGGGTCTGGAGCACAAGTCTGATGGGGAGCGGCTAAGGGAACTGGGGTTGTTTAGCCTGGAGAAGAGGAGGCTGAGGGGAGACCTTACCACTCTCTACAAGTACCTGAGAGGAGGTTGTAGTAAAGTTGGGGTCGGCCCCTTCTCCCAGGGCAGAAGTGACAGGACAAGAGGGGACAGTCTGGAACTGAGCCAGGGGAAGTTCTGGGTATAAATTAGGAGGCGTTTCTTCACAGAAAGGGTCGTTAGGCACTGGAATGGGCTGTCCAGGGAGGTGGTGGAGTCACCATCCCTGGAGGTGTTTAAGAAAAGACTGGATGTGGCACTTGGTGCCATGGTCTAGCTGACATGGTGGAGTTAGGGCAAAGGTTGGACTCGATGATCCCAGAGGTCTCTTCCAACCAAATTGATTCTGTGATTCTGTAGAGAACCCTTTACACAGTCACTGTAGTCAGAGCACAGCAGGAAATTCATTTACTGCTCTGAGCAGTATAGAAAATAGAGGATACTTGCAATAGATTTTGTGGAAGATAAACAAACATTGCTAAGACTCAAGATCAGCTACGGTTCTTCAAATACTGTAGATTAAAATCTTCAGTCAGATTTCAAATTTTTTTTTCCAGCCACCGTGTACATCTGCAGTGCCAAGACTGTCCGCCTATTTCAGAACTTTAATAAAATTTTTCTATTGGGCAATGGCAATTTTAATCAGACTGCAGGCTTTGCTCAAGACAAGGATCACACTTTTAACATTTACTTTTCCAATTTTAAATTGTCTGTTCTTACAATAGCATAGTACTTCGATTCTCAAGCAAGGCTGGCAGGTACCATTACCTTGTAAATAAAGGTAGCGGGTGCCATTTAGCAATGACGGCTCAA